CCATAGACCTGCTCGCGCCGCCGCCGCCTTAAAGCGGCAACGCCTGCCGTGAAGGATGTGGGCCCCACCCAGCGCCCTCTTCTGCACAGAAGCTCTAAGATTCCCGCCAGTAGAACCATTCATTTTAATTCCCAAGGCCTGCCCTTGGCCGGTGCTGGATCCCTACCGAAACCTAGAGAGGAATTAACAATCGGAAAGCCAGTCAATTGAGTGGTAGTAATGGTGGTGGTACTCTAAATATGGTTAGAGGTTTTTTTGAAATGGATCAAAACCTTGGGCTGGCTCTGTCCAGCTTCAGCGATCCCAGAGGCTGAGGCAGGCAGATCACAAGTTGGAAGCTAGCCTGGGCAATTTAACCAGACCCTGTCTCACAAGAAAAAGAGCTAGACCTAGTTCATTGGTAGAGTGGCCCTGGGTTCAATCCACAGCAACACACAAACACACATACCAACGAAAGCATTTGAAGAGCTCTTAGAGGCCAAGTTCCTAGTCATACCACCCATAAGAGCCCTCATTGCTGTCCCCTCCCACTGGGTCAGACTCAACACTAAATAGCCTCCCTCAGATTTCGGAGAGATACCCTAGGCTCCATTCTCCACCAAGCAAGGTTGTGTTCTGACCAGGACCTCCCTTGAGGTCCAGCTGCTGGATAAAATGACTCTATCCTCATCTAGGATATCACTTGGGCTTCTCAGAAGGAGGTGAGCTGGGAGATGCAGAGCAATAAACACTAATATTACTAGGTTTGGAAGCCCAAAGTGGGCTTAGTTCCAGTGGAGCCAAGCTTTAACACAGGTTTCCTAGGTCCTAGAAAAGCGGCTTGCACTGCTCATAATGCCTCCTGTCTGAAGGATTGGCCTCTTGCCCTCTCCTCCCTCCCTATCACTGTCCAGCTGCTGCTGTGCTCCTTCCACCCACAGCTTTGTGACTAGTGAACAGCCCCGCCCAGTGTACAGGGCTCCTGAGCCTCTTCATGAAACCGGCCTACAGGATTATCCACTTGAAGCCAGTGGGCGGGTGTGCAGCATCTAGGAATCCTCCAAAAGGTCCATACATGAAGCTGGACCAAGAAAAAGAGCCAGACAGGAGGCAGAGGGAAATCCAGAAAGGAATTCTCCTCACCCCAAAGAGCAGCAAGTGGCCTGGTTAGATGGCATGAGGGCTGGCCTAGGCAGGAAGCCAAGACTTTCATCTTGCACCTACCCCCAAGCTGTGTGACCTTGGTCAATATCCCTGTAGTAAAATGAAGGGATTGAATAAAGTTAAGGATTTCAAAAGTGTACTTAGTGATAAGAAACCTCTTTTTTTTTTTTTTAAGTGAAATTTGAACAAGAAGCCCAGAATATAAAAAGATGAGTAGTGTCACTGGGATATGGCAAGGGTTCAGAGCCTTGCCCATCCCCACTGTCCCCACAGCCAAGAAACCCCTGGTCTCCTCTGTGGACCTTGAGGATCTGGAAAGATCCAGTTTGAAAAGCATTGGATCCAGTGCTACCTTCCTTCACTGCCCTTTGGTGTCACTTTCAGTTGGTTACAGCAAAGGACCCACCTTGCCCAAGGCCCAGAGGACTGCTGGGTGATTGTACACTGATGCGGAAGAGGACAAATCACTTTTCCTTTTTCTCCCAGGGAGAATATGAAAGGAGCTGGGCAAAAGGATTGGGGTTAGCCAGGGAATGCCCTGTCCTTTAACCAAAGATGACCTTTCTTCCCCTGGACAAGGCTGGGGACAGACAGTTCCAGAGATGGAGAGGTATCTTGAATGGCCTCCCTGTGCTCGCCTCTCCAGACTTCCTTAGACTATGATTTGGGAGGATCTAGGGGCTGCGTGGGCATTTTGCTCTTTACCTAATAGCCATGTGGTGCAGAGAATGCTCGGAAATTATACCATCTGTTAATTATCCTTTGAATTGGAGTTGGGTAATGAGACTCTCATTTCTGATGAAGGCCCAAGCCAACACATGGAGAAACTGCAGCTCTCCATTCATCTGACTTCCTTTGTAGCTAAAATAAGCCTTCTGAGTGGGAGAGAGGGCAGCCTGGGCTCCGGATCATAGGATATGATTCTGTAGCCCAGCATGAGGCAGGAGTAGCCAGGGAAGGCTCAGGCACTAGAGCCCCCTCCAGGTGAGCTGCCTTTCTGCCCAAGGCAGACAAGCTGGGGATGTAAGTGATCCTTGCCTTCATCTCCAAGCACCTTGGGAAAATAGTACTTAACCTTACCCCTAGGGGCACAAAACAGACAGCTGCCTCCTCTATCCCCTCTCAGCCCCCTCAGTACTTCCACCCCACAGAAGCAGAAAAGATACTCTAAGTCTTCCATGCGTCACTGGAAGTCTCAAATGAGGGGTGTCCCTGATGATGAGACCCCTAGAGGAAGGACTGTCTGCTTTAGGGAACTTGCCAGCTATAAGGAACCTATAGGCCTCCCTTCTGCCTAGGAGAAAACCAAGACACAGTGAGGTCCTGTTATTTATTAAAAGGAAACTTGCTGCTCTTCTAGTGTAACTCTTCCTCTTTCTATTGGAGGCTTAAAAGGAAAGTGACCTGCTGAGCTAGCTCTAGGCTATTTCTATGACAAGAACACACTAAGAGAAGACTTGATCCTGGCTCTGAGCCCAACAGTATATAGTTCAGAAAAAAAATGCTCCAGGAGCACCTAGGTCAGAAAAGGCCAAAGAAGGTCAGAGAAAGAGCTGTGAGAGTGCAGAAAATCCCAGAAGACTTCCTGGAGGAGGTAGGATTGGGACTACATTTTGAAGAATTAGGAACAAAGTGGGCATGGTAGCATGTGCCTGTAATCCCAGCAATTTGGGAGGAGAGGCAGGAGGATGTCAAGTTTGAGTCCAGCCTGGGCAATTTAGCGAGACCCAGACTCAAAATAAAAAGCAAAAAGGGGTGGGAATGTAACAGTTACCCCCCACCCCCACCCCGCCAGGTTCATTCTTAAGTGCTGGGAAAAAAAAAATCAGAAACAGCATTGCTGGCAAGAGGAATTCATCAGCAAAATGGTTTACCCTATAGGTTATGTGTCTTCTCCACGGTTACACAATTGCAATTTAAACCCAAGCAATCTGGCTCTAGACTCCATACTCTTAACACAGTATACTATGAATGAGTGAAAGAAATGAATACAATGTGTGGCCTTTGCTGGAGCTGATTTGGGTGGGTCTGTTGTGGCCCAGCACACTGGAGGGGCAGACAGCAGCCACATTAGGAAGTACCAGGTGAGTTCTGTCTTGGACACATCCTTGTGGACTGAAGTTCTGGAACTAATGGTCCACTGGAAGGAAGGGTGAGGAGTTAGGCTGGGCTAAGCTGTGGTCTTTGGTAAGTTGGGTATATTAAATACATTTTCTACTTATGATATTTCTTGTAACATAACCCCATTGTAAGTTGGGAAGGATCTGTATTTGGCTGCTGATGGGGAAGTTCAAGGTGATCTTTGATGGGCAAGCAGGTCAGTTTCTCTGGCAAGAGAAAACGGTGGTGACAGGCCCTGGCACCTGGTCACATTAGCCTTCAGTCAGGCAAAACCATCTAACACAAAGCCTATTTTATAATAAAGTTGAATATCTCATAGAATTTATCAAATGTAGTCCTGAGAGTGAAAAAAATAATAAAATAGTTGTATGGTAGAATTTTGCACCATTATAAAGCTGGAAAATTGTGTGAGTTGAACCATTATATGATGGAGACTGTATTTTTAAAAAATAATATAGGAAAAAGAGAAAAATAAATAAATAAAATTAACACAGAGGTGGGGAGTGCAGGTCAATGGTAGAGCACTTGCCTCGCATAGGCGAGGCCCCTGGGTTTGACCCCTGGCACTGCAGAGGCTTCCATGAGCCCTCCACAAGGTGAACAGTCTTCCTTCACCATGAGCTCCCACCATAATGGACTATGCTGCCACAGGCCCAAACAACAGATCCAAGTGACCATAGACTGAAATCTTTAAAACTGTGAGCCAAAATAAGCCTTTCCTCCTTAAAAAGTAAAAAATGAAAATTAATTAACATTTTGTAGGTTAAAAAAAAAAATCTCCTGTCTTTGGATGGAACTGGAGATTATGCTTTGAAGTAAGCCAATCCCACAAAACCAAAGGCCACAGGTTCTCTCTGACGCTCTGAAATGCAGATGCTAACTCACAATAAGGGAAGAGGGGTAGGGAAAAATGCAAGTACTTTCCCTTAGATAAAAGGAAATGAAGGGAAGAGGGGGTTGAGAGTAGGAAAGTTAATGAATCAGACATTACTTTCCTATGTTCATATATGAATACATGACAGATGTAATTCCACATCAAATATAACCAAAAGAATGAGAAGTTAT